TATCATTGTCCTTGTTGACTTTGGTATGATGCACAGGCAGAGATGCCCCCTCAGGTAGTCAGGCCCAATTCACGAAAAGTCTTGAGGATGAGCACTAGACCTTCACTGGGTATGGTATTGAACAGGATGTCAGGGCAATGCATGGAGGGCCAAACGGGATATGTTGCATCTGTCTCTTCTGCTCAAGAGAGGGGACGCTGGGTTGATCAAGCAGTGAGTAAGGAGTAATCAGAAATGAAATTTTGGATGTTTGGGCCATCTCTTCCACATAATGCACTCAATACAAAGGGAGCGCTGCACTCAGTCTGCGCCCAGTGTGAAGAGCGGAGAGGATTGTCCAGTTGTTAAAGCGCAGGACTGGAGTCAAGGGTCCTAAATTCTATCCCTGTTTCTACCACTGATCACTGTGTGATCTTGGAGAAGTCTAACCTTTCTGTGCCTCATTGTTCTCATCTCCAATGTGAGATGAATACCTAGCTAGCTTCACAGAAACGTTAGGAAGCTTAGTCAGTCAGCTGTAAAATGCTTTGAGAGCCTCAGGTTAAAGGTACTACAGAGGGGTGCAAAGCATTATTTTTAAAACAGAAGGGTGGAGCTTTGTCCAATATGGCACATGAATCCAATTTTACTGGGGAGAGCTAGTGCGAAGCACGGATTAATTTATTTTAAGCTAGTGCCAACCCCTTAGCTCTAAACTCAAAGTGCCTTGCCGTACACATTTGGGAAAACAAAAACAAAACACCTTTCGCTGCATTTCTCCATGGGTAAGTAGCAGTAGATCAGTCAAGATGCGTAATAACACGCCAGTATTTTGAGATGAGAATGGGGTTCTTAGAATGAATGGTGAGTTTGGTTTTGCAAGTGATTCCCACCTTCTTTTGGGGGGAGGGATAGCTCAGTGGTTTGAGCATTGGCCTGCTAAACCCAGGGTTGTGAGTTCAATCCTTGAGGGGGCCACTTAGGGATCTGGGGCAAAATCAGTACTTGGTCCTGCTAGTGAAGGCAGGGGGCTGGACTCAATGACCTTTCAAGGTCCCTTCCAGTTCTAGGAGATGGGATATCTCCATTTATTTATTTATTTATTTATTATTTTTTCCGGACAATATCTACCAGCATCCAATATGAGCAGTATTTCTTTTCTTTTCTTTTTTAAAGAAAGCTTTTAGTTGCTACCAAGAAGGAAGAGCTAATTCACAGTCTATAATATTTAAAGGGGGAAAATAGAGTGAAACAGACTAAGAGTGAAATCCTGGCCCCATTGAAGTCGATGGCAAAACTCCCATTGACTTCGATAGAGCTAGGATTTCATCTTAAAGCTGACGGTATAATATAAACACACAAAGCAGAGAGCACATAAGGTTTGGGGGCGGGGGGGAGGAGAGGTCATGAAAAGCACTAGTTACGATGCTACAAAAGTACTTTATTACTAACACTATTACCTGTGCATTTTTTTAAACTGAAATTTCAATTTTAGTTCAAATGGAAAAGGTCTGTACCCCTGTAGTATTAAAAATTCTTCCTAACTTTTTAAGAACTTTAGTTTCAAAATAAAATGGCAGCATTACAAAATGCTGTAGGAACGTGTTACTCTGGATTATATATTAGGATACGTGACATCCTAGAGTATTTAAACTTTTTTGATGCTGTGAAGCTGTTAGAGGTTTTTTAGCAACTAACCTTTAAACAGAGCAAAACAATAACGTTTACATTCTACTATATAATGCTCAGGTTAATTTAAGGATGAATCATGCAGGCTGTATATTTAAAAACAAACTCATTCCATGGCCTGAAATTAATTATTCTAACCAACATAGTAATTCAATCATAAAAACATGAGTTTATTAGTAGTGAAGCAGCTGAAGAACTGCATAGTCCACCGGTTGATACATTTTTTTCTATACTCGGTTATGAAATGCAGTGTTGCAATTTTACAAGGTACATATTTTCAATTAGCAAGAGAATGTTACAGAACACAAACATGGAGTGAATATTTGTATTTAATGGAATTTAAACCAATAAGTCAACTGAAAGAGAGATCACCTCTGGCTATAAAATGTGGTGAAAAAAATCAAATTTTGAATGAATGTGGCAATATATAAATTTTAGAGCCATACAGCAGATATGTATCCTTCATACTGTATGACATTCATTGCATATCCATGTCAAAAAGAAAAGTCTAACTGATGGCTTAAAATTTGTATAATAATTAAAGCATTTAATATTTTTGCTTAATTTTGATATTGACTGAGTTAATACTTTCATTGTGTAAAAACATTGTGTACATTAAAAAAAAAATCACACAAACCAATTTAAAAAATATTTAAGTACAATTACTCTGCTGCAGTTAATGTTAATGAAACCAACTCCATTTGGCTACGCTAAGGTTTTGGAAGAAAAACATATGAACAATGAATATGCTTCAACTGTTTTGTTTAGTACCTTAGGATCTCCCTTAAAGAACTTTCTACTGCAATTAGACTATAATATCTCCCTGCTTTATTGTGTGGCTGTGGTTACTAAAACATCTGAACACATTTAAAAATCTGGAAAATCCATAGCCATTCTACACACTTTCATTTATTGTCCGGACAATTAAAGTACAAATAATTCAAACACAACAAGGTTATTAAAAAACCATTTACAATACTTTCCCTCAGAAATGATCTAAACTAGCAAGGTTAACATGAAGTCATTCATTATAACTAAAGTATACAACTGCCTGGTTCTAAGAAAGTTTTTTTCCTTTAAATTATTATTCAGCTAGTAAAACACATTGTAGAGAAAAGATTCTGACATGCCTTCCCCACTAATGCTTAGCAAATGCATCAAAACTTTCCCAGCGAACTGCGCTCATTCATAGCAGATGATGTATAAAGGTTTCCCTGAACATTGAATGAGTGTTCTTTAGAACTAAAATATTTTAAAAATAAAAAAAAACTAATAAAATTATGATGCTTTTGTTTTATCTGTCTACTACAAAAGTTTGCCTCTTCAGTGTGGAAAAAAAAACAATACTTAATCTACGTGCAGTTAGTGGGTATAGCATGGAAAAAATGCACAAAATAAGCACAAGTTATAAATAACCATAACGTTTTATTACCATTAAGACTAAACTTGTATTGAAAAGATTTTATATAACAAGACAAGAAAAGCAATAGCAAATTTAACTATCAACTAGATTATGCATAGCGAGTAACTGTTTCTAGTACTCAGGGAAGAGCATGACCCTTTTTTGTTTTAAATATATAACCGTACAAAGCACAAACATACTAAAATGATCAGTGCACTGGACATGGGAGAGCACCCCCTCAGTCATTTTGTTCCCTTAGCTCTGTTTTCCCCAATCTGAATTACATTAAAATAAAGACCCAGTTGTTTTCTTTTCTACTGTGCAGTAAGAAAAAATATTCACAACAAACATGACAATATATCAAACAATATTTCTACACAAGTTACCTTGATACCTCTGTCACTTAAGTATCATAAGAAAACATTTTAAGACATATACAAACAAAACTAGCAAAGTGTTACAACTTATAATAAATTAACAAAAAGAAAAAATAACTTTATATATATATATTTATATTATATATACACATACACACACAACAAAATGACACAATAATATGCTTCTTCCCATAGTTTAAGTAAACAAATAAGTAGACTAGCCAAACTAGCTATATTTGATTTTGGCCATATGCATCACATCGGCAATTAAATAAATAAGTGTTTCAAGCAACATAAACAGTGTTCCAAATGTGCCAACACAGCCCAATTTATATCAGCATGGGCTATAAAGTGAATTTGAAAATTCTTAACAAATTTTAAGCAAATTATTTTTTCTAAACACATTACATTTAACTATGATACTAAGATATGTAAATAATTCTGTAGCACCTACTGCTCAAACCAAGGAAGTTTTTGATCAAAACAATTATTTTTTTTTAAACTTTTGTTCTGCTGATATCCCATACTGATGACTTAAAGAAAAACTGTCTTGCAACTCATCTCCTTGCTTTTGGGTTTTGACTGTGGGTAACTGTGTGCCTGGGAAGAACACTCTCCCGTACTGTATTTAATATTTTTATTACATGCTATGAAAAGATACGAAGATCATCTGTTTGTAGCCCATCCTTCAAAAAACAATCTACTAATCCAGTTTAAAACACACGTCTTGATCTCTAAAAAGTTACCAGTGCAGTATGAACATGACAAAGTTGTCAATTTCCCCTAAATTAGCCAGTCAAAATATTTTTTCTCAAATCCAGATTCTCTTGTAAAAATTCTTTATATTTTATAAAAATAGATTTTTCTTGAAACCCATTTTCAGCAAAGAGACCACCTCTTTGGCAACATTGTTAATGTTATTTAAATTGTTCTGTCATCAGGTATCCCCCTTTTACCCCATTCCCTAACAGAAGACTGTTTAGTTCACATGATATAAAAGAAAAAAGGAAAAATAAAAAAGGTTGCAAAAGTATGTGTTTTTTTGTTGGTTTTTTTTTTGCAATTTTTATTGTTCCTCTTTAATTTATAGGGGGGGTTTACCAATCTGATTGGATCAAAATTTGAAAAAAAAAAAAAAGAAAAATATTTTTTTTTTCTTTCTTTTAATCCCATTAGTTTGTAAAAATTGTTTTTGTTTTTTATTTTTTTTCAAATGAGCGAATGGTCGTCTTAAAAAGAGCCACCTTCAAGAAAGGTAGTAAAACTAACTGGCTGGGTAAAAATCCCTGCACATTGTTATCGATGTATATTATATTCAACAACGACAGCTATGAAAGAACATTCAATGCATCAAAGGTTTTTTTTGTTTTTGTTTTTTTTTCTAAGCATTATAAAATCCTTTCCTGTTCATCACAGGATATCCAATGTTTTAATACTTAGGCAACACTGGCTTATAAAGTCCATGGTTGAATATAAGCCTTGCAGAGTTTTTGTTTGTTCGTATATATATTTATATATATATATATATGTTTTAGTAAGTAAGGATATGAAATTCAGGATTTGTGGGTTTTGTTGGTTTTAAAGGAAACTTGCAATACTCTGTCTCCTAAACGGTATCCATTAAGGCTGGCAATTGCCATGGCAGCTTCGTCATAGTTGGTCATAGTGACAAAGCCAAATCCCTTGCACTTGTTGGTGTTGAAATCGCGGATCACCTTGACGTTATTAACTGCTCCGAAGGGGCCAAAGAGCTGCCACAGCACACTTTCATCTGAGTCGGGAGACAAATTGTAGACAAAGATACACCATCCAGTCCCAGTGTGGCCAGGAATATTCATTCCAACAAGGCTCGTCATCCCATCAATTGTGATCGGGGAAAACCTACCAAATAAAAAGAGGGGACTATTCTAGACATAGCGCTTAGCACAAATTACACGGAACTGAGACTTAAAATAAAGCTCATTACGGTTTCATGATCCAGTCCTTGGGATGTAAACTATATGTCCATCTTTGCTCTCAGTTACACAGGTGCCACTAACACCTACTGAAATGAATGGTAGCTGGGAACAATGTAACAGACGAGAACTGGGCACAATGACGTTTCCCTTCCACAATAAGTTCTAGTTTGCTGTGTCTGAGGTCTAATAAAGGGAATTCTTAAGGAACATCTAAATAAGCATGGGCCAAATCTTGCAGTGCTAATTAGGAATTTCACTGAATGAGTAAGAAATGCAGCATTTGGCCTGACATTTCTATCAATAAAACAACTCAGCTAAAGGACTGTGGACAGAACTGCAAAGTTACCAACGATTTAACACGTTACATCCCCTACCAGACCCTCATGGAAAAATGGATCTCTTAGGGCTTGGTTTTAACATTGTCAAATTTCAGCAATATCTCTGTATTGAGCCTTTTTATATATCCTAAAAGCATTTGAGAGATTTTTAGATAGAAAACAAGAAGTTTTGTCTGTTTCTAGTATACAGACTTTTATTCAAATATATTTTTTAAAAATTAATTGTTGGTAACGTTATCTTAAAAATGTCTGTGCATATCAATGAGCATATGTGTAGTAATTGTAAAGTAGGAAAACCAGTGCATGAAGACAACTTGCTTGGTTAAATCACCCCCTTTAGCAGTTGATAAAACACCATCATTTTTGAGGCCATTATCAATGGGTTACATTTAAAGTAACTGTTACATGTAAGAAAAGTCTTGCTAAAAATCGTATTTCCACACTGAATTTTAAAGCAGGCATCCTCAATGAATTTTAATTCCTATACTGAATAATTCTTACCTTTGTTTTGCAATGCAGATGTGCAGACTGCAAGCTCTCTATTAGAAAACTTGTAATAATATTTATAATATTTTTAGTTACATTTAGTGAATAGAACTCCTTAACATTACTCTACTGCAAGTGGAAGTGAACAGACAATACAAGGAATTTTAGTGTGTTGATTGCTTATCTTCTATGTGGAATTACACTTAAAGTCTTGACTGCCCTTTGACGTACATCCAGAACACTTCTGGATATTGCACCTAAATAGAGAAATATCACTCAATTTTTTCTACAGCCTGCAAACACTTATGCAAATCAGCAACTTTATTCACACACATAACAGCTTGGAGGACTGGGCCCTCTGACTCATATGCAGGCTTGCAAAAGTGTTCAGGGTTGCAGTAACTCTACTCTTATTGAAGTCACTGCAAACAATTCCTACTGAATTCCACTTTAGAAAAATCCCACCCAGAATATCTGTAATGCTTTTTTTTTCATTTTTGTATACTTAAACTAATTATCATACTGGCACAGCACCGTTTTGCTAGTGTAGACTTCTTTGTGCATTTCCTCAGCTGGTGCAAACAGACAGCTAAAGCTGTGCGAATAACTGATTTTTAAGTTTGCGAATAGTTGAGTCTGGATTGAACTAAACCTTCAGTTCAAACCAAAACAAAATATTTAGTTTCTGATTTTTACATTTTTAATTTTTTTGTATTCTAAAATTAAAATAAATTTCTAAATGAAAAGTTGTTTTGAATCAAAAAATCAAAATGTTTTGCTTCAAAAATGTCTAAATGAATCATTCTGATTTTTTGGGGAAACCTTTTAGGGCTTTAAAAAAAAAAAAACACAACACTGAAGCAATTCAGCAAAATCAATACACCTCTACCCCGATATAACGCTGTCCTCAGGAGCCAAAAAATCTTACCGCGTTATAGGTGAAACCGCGTTATATCGAACTTGCTTTGATCCACCGGAGTGCGCAGCCCCGCCCCCCCGGAGCGCTGCTTTACCGTGTTATATCCAAATTCGTGTTATATCGGGTCGCGTTATATCGGGGTAGAGGTGTACAAATATGCCAAATGTTTCTGTCAAAACAAATCCACCGTTTTCAATGAAAAAAAACATTTTGTCTGAAAAACGTTATCCAGCTCTAGACAAAGCTGGAGCTATGTCTTTTTATACCAGCTGAGAATCTGGCCCATTAGATAGTAAGTTCTCTTCTCTACAAGGAATACATTTCAACAAATTGAGGGTACAGCTAATTACTGAACAAAATCCTTTCAGCCAGCAGAACAGGCTTCTTTGAGTACAATCAGCAAATGGGATCTTGAAGTTTGCAAACTTTAACAGCCTACATAAAGGCCAGCAAATACTATTTATGCTGTTATACTTTATACGGAGTGTGTTTGTGTAAGAATATTTGACTGTGTACTTCCATACAAATCATGTTAACAGACTGATTATATGGTGCACACACAGTTGTGCAGTACAACAGTATGCTAGTTTTTTGGATCTAAGGTTGCCAAATGCACAAGAAATACGATTATATAATTAAAGACTTGCGATGCACATGCACCATGAGTCAAAGGTTCATATTCAACCTTAACATTATCATTTTTTCCAGATGTTTGAGAATTCAACTGTGCAAACTTAATCTTCCCTTAATATAATTTTTAATAGAATTTTCTATGTTTATTTTTAAACTAAAATAGAGCTATTTAGCTATACATCACCAGAATGCCTTCTAGCACTTTCAGAGGTTCACAAGAGAGAGCCTCTCTCCTCCAAACCTCAGGAGCTGTGCAGCTTTTACCTGCTCATGAAACCTTAACTACAGCAACTGCTTCATCTCTCACTATAATATAGGCTGATGTGGTATAAAAGTTTACTGACATGAGTTTGGGATGGCGTATTATTCACTAGTGGCAAAGCCGTGAATTATAGAAGTCAACCCCAATGAATCTTTCATTCCATGCCAAATCATCCTGTATTTTGTATAGGATACATATTTTATAGCAAAATTTATCTGGGGATGTTTTAGAGACGGTTTCAGAAGTTTTTATTTATACATCCAAATAACACAGAGTTTTCTAGGAGGGTAAGTACAATTCTTCAGGACTTGCAGGGAGAAGAAAATAACTAACAATTTTAAGAAACTTCAATAAACACTGAAAAAAAAGCTGTTGTGATGTTTAATGCCTGATGTCTCATGATCTATCAGTGCCAGAAACAAAAGCCTTAGAACAGCGGAAAGGAGATACCTGGCTCTCTAACGATATTAGTCTGCTTTTCCTTGCCTTGATGAGTCACATGAAATCAGAAATTAAACCTTCCGCAGTCTAGGACAGAACATGGTTTGTCCTGTACCACAGGTCAGTGTAATTCTGGGTAGGAAATTAAACATTTGGGAGAAAAAAAAATTCTCAAACAGTTATTTGTAAGTGGCAGCTGTTTGAAGCTGCTAAGAGTTTTGGAACGTTACTAGCAGGACTGAAAGATGGATTAGTGGGCAGACTGCAGGTGAGGCAGTGAAAGGGGCATAATGAATTGCAGAACCATGCAGCAAATTTTGATTCACGTGCTGATCATGGGACACATGATTTGGGTTTTTTGGATAGATGTAAAACATGTAATTTGAAAGTTACTTTGGCGTACAAGTAATCTTATGGTGTACATGGCATTACGTTGCTCAATTGCCATTACTGTAGTAGTTAAGACTTACTCTACTGTCCACTTCTGAACAGTTTAAAGATATACTTACCATGCCATGTTTGGGATGAGCTTTATAAAAGAGCACCTAGTTTTCATGAATGTGCACGGCTGACCATTCCTGTAGACTAAGGTGCTTCCTCAGCTCATAGTGCAGGGCTATAGGTGCACAGCTCTGCATAATGTCAGGAATGAGACTATGCCCCTATAGTTCTGAAAGGTTCCCCAGTGTCGATGTGTGTCGTTAACAAAGAGGAAACACTAACATATATCAACTTCTTTTTTCCGATTGAACATGGAACACACTCATTATGGAACATGAATGTTTCAAAATCAACTGAGCTTTAATTCCAATCTGAACACACAAACCTGTGTAAATTAAAACAAACACACAAAGAAACAAATCACAAGCACTAAGAAATATTGGCAACAATTGTTAAACCTGTAACAAAAGAAACTTAGGGCTGATTAAGGTGCATACAGTTACACTTTTAAAGATAACTTTGTGGTAGGACACAGCTAGAGGAAAGGATGAGGCTATTTAATTCTATTTTCCTCTGACAATTTTCACAGTATCAGATCAGAGATTAGCAAAAACTTCAGTTTAATAGTTTTGATTCAGGAAAATATGCCATTTAGCAGCACTATTGGTGTTAGAATACTTATAGCTGTTGCACCTAAACCATCTGAGAAGCCCACCTGTAAATAAAAGAAAAGGTGAAAAAAACCCACACACAACTTTTGAGTGTGGCCTTAAAGTAACAAAACCAACTGAAGTCCAAACTTAAAAAAAGAATTTGACATGCTGGTGGAAGAAAAGAAGGAATTAAAAAAAATAAAGTTAGTGATTTAAAAAATAAATTGTAGCACCAATCTGTGCCAACATGGACATCTGGCAATCTGTGGAATTCTAATTACCTCTTTACGCCATAGGCCATATTAAGCAAATTGTCCAGCCTGAAAAGAGAAGGAGGGTCTTTGGGTTAATGTCTCACAGATGGCAAGATCGCTCAATGGAACTATTATTAATAATGTTCCATTTTCAAAGAAGAAATGTTCAACAAGTTTCTCACACATCTAAGGAGTTTAGGAAACAGGAACTCTCTTGAGTTTCAAACTGCATTCAGATTTCAATCACAATATTTAATGCCATTTTTAACATGCTTTGAGATTTCAGAAAGGTGAACTCTCACTAAATAGCTATATCTCAAGATTTGACTGAGTGTTAAAAATTCCCCTTTGATTTTTCATTTGTAGATTATATTAGTATGAAATCATAACAAGTACAATACTTCAACAGTTCACCTTTCATTGCAATAAAACTTGTGAATAAAATGTTACAATCCAAAATTAGAGGAATAGAAACATACTGGTTATAAGCAACTCTTGCTTCCCAGTTTCACAAAACTGTTTAGACTTTTTCTTTTGTTTAGAAACATATTTAGTAATAACGATCTCCAAAAGCTGCCAATGTAAATTACCATTGAATTTGGGAAATTAAATTTAATCTACTTTATGTTTAATACACAATATGAAAAATCCTTTATCTACATAAGGAGTCAGTGGTAGCCTCAGTGGCTTTTATACCCTTACCAAAGATGTTTTAAATATACACTTGTTTTCATATAAACCAGGCAGGTGACTGACCTTTTCTGTGTTCTTCTTTAATTCATTTCAGATTTTAAAATTTGCAAATTTCACAGTAAAATAAATTTAATAGCTAATATTTATCTTAACCACGCAAGTAAGTCCAAGCATTCCTATTTAATATTTTTTAAAGAAAGACCTTTTGCTAAAAATGCTAGGTTGCCTAAATATTATACATAATCAAAATAACACAGAGAGAACCCAGTACTGCTAATACTGTGTTACATATGAGATACAAGCAGTACTTTCAAAATGTAAATCATAAAACATCACACAGCATCTCAGCACTCATATCAAAGACTACACAAGGTCTCTTTATACCTTGAGCAGACATCTGAAGCTAATAATGTCATAAAACTACTGCTGAATAGAATAAACACTCAACTTTTTGCCAGCCACCAGCCCTACACTCAATGTTAAATTGAAAGTTGCATGAAAACCACAATAATACTGCAGAAAAAGTTGATAACAAAACAAAAACAAAAAAAAAAAAACAGAAAAGTCACTTTCCATTTCAGTATCAATATAACCTTTTATTCTGTCATCCTTTACCTAAGGCCTCATGAGATCTGATTGTATAGTTGAGATGTTTTAGTCAATATGGAATGACTATGGCTGTGAGCAGATTTTCCTGTTCACTCACTTGGAAATAATGTTTTATTTGACAAAGAAATTGAAGTCAATCTACAATTCCAAAATACATTTTTAACACAACCCCTACCCCAAGTCATCATAGATGGTAGAGCTCCAGTTCTTTTGCAGATCGATAGTTACCTGAATCTCTGAGCCTGGTGGTGTAGTGGTCCAGGGTAGCGTCTGTTGGGAGACTGGTACAGCTGCGAAAGGAGTGCCTGGCTTGTCTTCTGACTGGGGTTATTGGCGAACTTCACAGTAATTGGTTCTGTAGCACCACTAGGTTTCTGGCCATTTAGTCCCTTTATGGCTTCTTCTGCTTCTATTCTCTTATCGAAACGGATAAATCCCACACCTCGAGAGACACCTGGGAATAAAGAAAAGACCTTGTTAAATAAAGGTTAAAAAAAAGTAAGAACAGCTTCAGGAGTCTTTCACATATCTAAGGAAACAAAACAACATGTTCATTTTGATCTGAGTTCAGAACACACTACTTTGTGATATAAAAATTATTTTCCCCATCAAAGGGAAAAAACCCTGCTCTCTTAAGATCATTTACTGAACCTTCCCTCCTACGTTATATTGTGATAATTGTAGCAGATGACAGACATACAAGTAGTAAATTGCTTGATACATTCCCCTTAAATATGGATTACCAGTAATTTTTAAAAGATTCTGCATTTAAAAAACACCCAGTGCATTTACTTCCCCTTAAAGTTACATATATAAAGAACTGTGTATGTACAGTAACATCTATCTCTATACGATTACATTTTACATCCAAAGTCATGGCTTCTTACTGTACATCTGTACAGTTTGCTGCTTCACTATAACCATTCTGCTTCAAAAGCATTTAAGTTTGCCATTTTCTGAAAATACTTAAAGTTTTAAAAAAGTTTTTTTAACCTGTGACTTGATCAACCAGAATTCGTGAGGTGATGATGCGCCCATATTGTGAAAATAACTGTTCTAGTTCTTTCTGGGTCATCGTTTTTGGAAGGCCGCTAACATACAAGTTAGCATCTCTGATTGATGCTGAACTTGGACGGGCGTATGACACCTAGGGGATTAAAAATAAAGAATTAATACACTTTCCATGAATGCATGTACCTCATACATTTAAATCAACAGATTATTTATTGTCTTTACAATCCATAGCATTGGTTTAAATAACCCTGCAATTCAGATTTTAGCTGTTCTTTTACAAGCAACAAGGACTAGGAAAATGTGAGGGAAAACAAAAGGAAAGCAGGAGATAACTTGAACAAATGTAAGGATAAGGCCTCTCTAAGTGAAAGCACAAAATAGCTACTGTACAGCGGTAGATTAACGCACAACTTCCCACGCACAGCTTTGTAAATTTACCCCATAGTCTGTGGATGTACAGATAATTTACTGTATTCAACACAACAATCTTTGAATATACCAAGCTTTCTGAGGTTCCAGTGTGTTTTGTTTCAAGCACTTGAAACAGATCAGGTTAGTTGCAAAGAGATCTTTTACACTATATCCCTTTGTATTTTCATTCTAAGCTGGCAACATCTTTCCTTGCTGAATTATAATGTACTAGTGTATCAGGCTAAATCAACATCTACGTCAGGAACCATAAATACAGTGTATCTGCCATTTTATTTCAAAAAGTCCCTTGCAATGTAAGCCTGAAACCAGACTGTAAAAATACTATGCCCAAATAAGCAAAAATCCAGTTGATGCATTACGTATGTATTGTGAAAAAATTATTACACCAGATTTCTGTTAAGGGCTTAACGTTTTTCTACCAAAACGCAAACACAATCCAAATAGAATTTCAAATGGGTTTACATCTGTACCACACTCATAAGCAAAACTTAACACTTACTGTATTCAGAATTCTTTTTTTATTTTAAAAGAAAAACACACTCTTAAAAACAATCTACATCTTAGATTAATAAAAGCACTCCCTGATAAAGGTGTTTCTTGCATGGCTAGTATGAAATAAAGATTGTGAAGAGATTTATTTTACAGCACATTTGAAACACTGTTCGCTCTAACTTTCTGAACAATTTGAATTTCATCTAATGCAATGTATTTAAATCTACACATCTATAAATTCCCACTGTCTACACATACGGTATACGCAGGTAGGCAGGGGAGGGAAGGTCCAGTCACGAATATGATGCATTAAGCAAGCCTGTCTCCCTCTCCCCAACACAATGATAGATGTCTTTATGTGCTCCACACCTAAAAATAGATGTTGACTCAACACAGAAAAGTACGTGAATGACTAATATTTGCTTCCACAGCCTTTTGCATGTAACAGGAGACAAACTCTCTACTGATTTTACATTGTAAAGTTTTTGGTGACTTTTTTTTTTTTAAATAACTCACGTGTTTGTACATAACTTTTGTTAAAACTCATGTTAAACAATAAGACTAAAGGGAAATGGATGAAAAGTAAGGAAAATGCTGAAAAAGAGTGTAGCTAAAACATTTACACCCAAGATGGCAGGCACAGACAATGCTATACCATGGCACTGGCACAAGTAACCAGTCTCACAGTTTTCCAATATCAATGGAGTAAAGAACATTGTAGGTGGGATTTCAGTAAGTGCCCCCATGACTTCAGAGCTTGAGTCTCATGGACTTTCAATGGGTCAAGTGCTCCTAAGTCACTTACAGGCCTTGTAAAAGCCCACCCTGGGTGTTTAGTGTGGCGCTGAGAGTACAGTCCATGTAGCTCAGCGTTCCTTCATGTAATTCCTACATGATGCCTGATGGTTTGGTGGAGAGGTCCAAGGGTTTCATAGACTGGCCTTTCATCTGTGGAGAACACAGTTAAAATCTTGTCTTAGATCATACATGAGTTTGGTGGTTTCTTATTCTCAGTTTATGTATAATCACAAAACCGCCACGTATTTTGGAGCAAGTTATGGGATAACTGGCAGGCACTGCTTAAGGCGGATCCAGAATTAAAATAGCTGGGGTGGGGGGGTCACATGCTAACTCTGGAGTACACTTGCAGGGCAACATCTGGGAGATTTCACAGCACTTGTTCACTCTACGCCAGGCTTCAGATGCTATGATTAACCTCTGTTTTCAAGAGAAATAAACTACGTCTTGGCGTAAAATCCTGGCTCCACTGAAGTCATAGAGAGTTTTGCCACTGACTTCAATGGGGCCAGGATTTCACCCTGAATTTTCAGAAAGAATCTACTACCTCAAAATAATTTTCTATAAACAGCCTATCTTAATAAGGGCACACAGTCAAGGTTCACACCTCTAGAATTCAACCTACTTTAGGGGGAAAAAAACACTTTAAACCTACCCTTTGGAAAAATCTATCTGCTCCTAAAAACTGAGAACTGCAAGACACACAAAATTCTTTGGCAAACTGCCAAATCCAGGTCCTGGGTTTCTTCACATTAGCACATTCAGCAACCCAGTGCCTTATTCTACCCTGAGCAGAAAAGGTATATGGATAGAGGAAAATACCACTTTTGGGGGCACTGAAAGACTGGGATTCTTGTATATTTTAATACTCTGCTCTGTTCTTGTGAGCCATGCAGACAGGCAAAGTGGGTGGAGAGAGAGAGAGAGAGATTGTGCAAAGTTCACTCTCACACAAACACATCCACCCACACCGCATGTAAACCACATCATTAACTGAGATCTAATTTTAGTTCCACCTGCCTTAAAACAGTCAGGTTGCAGGGGATTCTGGGCAAGGAGCTGCCAAAGGTTAGTCAGCGATCCTCAATCTCCAAGACATAGGGTTCGGAGTGTGAGATGGACACAAGGCTAGTGAAGGCTATTTCTTCTCCTCAGTCTTTTCCCGACTTCCCTCCCAGGTCAATCAAGTACAAATCCATTGGTTAGACAGACCCATCCTCTTAAGTTATTGTTCAATTAGTAGTGTGCACCCACATGTTTTTATAAGGGGTTACAGGAAAAAATCCCAACACTTCACCATGCTGCGAAGGGGTCAGAACAGTTATTATGGAGATGTGCCAAAACAGGCTCCCGTTTTGTTACTGAAAATTGTAGAACACTCCGAAAATGTGTCGCACGAATTCTTTATGTTTACACTTATCTCCCATTAGGAACCTTAGTTTGCTTTTACCAGCATGAGGGATCTGAAATACAAAAGACTAGTTAAAAAAGAAAAAAAAATCCTTACAACTGCAAGTTCATATTAATGATTGCGAACAGGACAACTGCAAGAGAAAGGTTGGTCCTGGCACTTTATAGCTTGGAAGTGGAGGGCTGTTCCACTCCATCAGATCATTTTCAAGCTGCTTGGGTCAAATTGCCAAGGGAGACAATGTGATATTGTTGGGTTTGTTTTATGGCTCACCAGTTTCCAATGTTAATTTGCATACATATATACACAAAATAATTATGGAGAAAATATTTTTGCTAGACTACTACCAATCCTACAAGAAATAGGATTTCAAAGGACTGTCTCTTCATTAGACAACCTTCCGTTCTTAAGAGACTGCCCTAAACCCTCTCTAAGAATTATAGGACAGATGCTAGCTCCATCCCCTTTGTGCTGCTCAGTGCTTTGTGACTCTGTTTGTCAAATGACACCACTGTACTCGGTGCTGGATCAATATACTTCTCTACTCAAGCCACTCAGGAATGGAGTAATTTGCTGCAGCCTCCCTTTGGCAAGTGTGCAGTACAAACATCATGCCTCAGAGTTATGTGTGTTCCAGAATTTCATGTCCTCCATGGATGAAATTACGTAATATTTTCAGTCCACTGGCCCAGAAAAATCTTCAGGTTCAACAGGAAGACAAATTCCTCCTATTTCCTCATAGCCCTCAAGAACATAAACTGATACAGTCTAGTCTTCCTATTACACAGACCCTAACAAAAGCAGTAAAGGAGGTGTGAACTTGTCCCATTCCTCTCAACAAGGCCAGAACTCTGACGCTTAAGAGCAACAATTTAAATGCTGACAACCATTTCGCTGCTGATACGCTCAGCTAATGTGTTTATCCAGTTATTGGACATACTCAAAATATGATAGACTTATTTGTTCATCTGAAATAAGACTAGACAGTTTAAGTTAACAAAATTACAGAATAGCCTCAGACTTCTTTTCCCCATTTGGTCCTTTAGAGGAACTTGTTCCTCTTGCACTGCAATGATGTTCCTTGTCATAACACAGTGGTTTGGAGTACATCAGCTCATCTCTATCTGGCTGCAAAAGCTGCTTTATGTGACATAAGGTGCTCACTTCTTGTCAAGAAATTAGTGCACTGACTCTTGCACTGCTCCCAGTCAATGTCAGCTTGGAGCTCATGAGACTAGTGTTGAGCATTTAACCTGTGAATGTCGCATGCACAAATGCCCTAAGACCACGGGAACAACTCTTATAGCACTATTATTCAAATAGCTGAGACATAGCTACAATCTTTGTAAGTTAAGGTACAAGCAATGTTTGCTGTGCTGCCAGTGCAGCCCTGGGATTTTGTAGACTGTCTGTGAAATGTGGTCGAGTGACAAAGACAGTTCACTCTATAATGACCTTATTAACAATTCTGAAAGAGTCTACTTGTCCCTTAGATGGACCTAGGGAGGAAGGATGGTCTTCTGTTCAAATCATTAGACTGGGATTCCAAAAATCTGGGTTCAATTTTTGGCTCTGCCACAGATTTTCTGTGTGGCCCTGGGAAAGTCACTTAACCTTTTTTGTCCCTCCGCTCTCCAGCATTTACTTCCCCTTGCCCAACCACTGTCTTATGTATTAGATTGTAAGCACTCTGATCGTAATTGTCCTTTATTAGGCATATGTCCAGCACAACAGGGTCTGATTGAGGTCTCAACCTGCTACTGCAATACTACACCATGCCCACTCTCCCAAAAAATCCCGCTGATTTATATTCATTACTATCCACTTCCCCGTATTTCCATTCGTTACAATATTTTTTTTATAGCTGCCTTCACTTCTCCTCTAAATCACATTTTTTTTTTAACCATTATGGCCTTCTTGTTGATTATGGGATTTTGGGCATCTCCTAAGGTGTTCTTAAATGATTGCCAATTATCATTCAATATAATTTCTTCATCCCA